ACATTTTGGAAAGGTCTTGAAGTCCGCTAACCAATGCCTTTGGTCCCATGTCATTTTGATTTACCAATCTCAAGTTATGGTCTTTGACTTAAAGTGCCTTTTTGTTGACTTTTGAAAATGACCTATAATGTTGAGATTGATAACTTTTTGTGAGAGCATTTCTTGGACTTGAAGTGTGAAGAGGAGTTGTAGGAAATGTCATTCTCTTCAAAATGTGCTTTGGATGGAATTTTTCTGATAAACCATGTGGAAGTTATGCCTTGGTCAAGTTACAGTTGACTTTTTCAACTGTCCAAATATAGAAACTTTTGCATCTTGAGACTTTTTGAGCCATGCCTTGAGAATCATGATCAAGAATTGATCAAATGATGTTTTTGGCTTCAAAATAAGATGTTGACCAAAAATTTTGACTTTTGACTGTCAAATGACCATTTTTCCCCTACAGTTGACTGTAATGCAATTAGGGTTTTTGACTGTTCAATTTTGTGCTGTAAGTCTTGAAACTTGGCATAAGGATGCTTGACCATGTTTGTAGGCATGTGGGACTTGTTTGGACCCTTGGAAACTTCAATTTCTTTGTCAGAACCAAAACCCTAGTTTTTGACTGTTAGGAGGCCATTGGACTGTGCAACCCTTGGGAGATTTTGAAGCATGCTCTTTGCAAATCTTGAAGAATATGGGAGGGAAAATTTTGGGGTACAACACATTTCATGTTGCATCCTGAGCTGTCGCGTGGATGAATTAATTATGTTAAATGTTGATAAAAAGTTGTGAAGTGGTGAATTGTAAGATCTAATACTAATATATTATTTATTTTATATTTAATTATATGGTTCGATATCTCACCCCTTTTGTTTGAATGTTGCCCTTTGTTGGTAACATGTAGGTAATCAAGAAGGTTAGTTGTTACCCTCGTTAGTTCGAGTCGGTGTTATCACTCTGATACGTAGCAATCGAGGGGAGGAACACATGATTTCTTTATTGTTGATTTTCATTATGTTGCTGAATTTTTAAGTTGTCTTCATTAAAGACTTGTTGTATTAAAGTTGTTTTGAGTTGGATAAGATGTTATGGTGTTTTCAGTTGAATTTTGTGTATCCGCTGCGTAGTAATAAAAGTTGTTTTATTTTTAAAGACTAAGCAGGTTGTTATCGGTTCATCCGAATTTCATGTGTTATATATCTGAACTATAGATGATTGAATGTCGTAGTTTTAAGTTGAAAGTGTAGCATTCTATTTGTTTGTTTGAAAATTTTATAACTCTGGTTTTATTTAACTCGTCGGGTAGAAATGGGGTGTTACAATAGTGGTATCAGAGCAAGTCAGTCCGTCAGTTCATGTTGTCGAGATGTAGTTTTGTCTAACGATCGAGTATTATTAATCTGAATCCTAATTGTTGTTTATGTTGTAGAGATAAGTTGAGATGGATGGAAGAAATAATGTTGCACTTGTTGCTGCTCTGCAAGCGATGGCTCAGGCAATGTAGAATCAGCCGAATTCTGGATCTCGTAGTTTCGCGAATTTCCAAAGGGAGAATCCGCCTACCTTCAAGGGTAAGTATGATCCTGACAGAGCGTTGGATTGGCTGAAAGAGATTGAGAGAATCTTCCGTGTGATGGACTGCACTCCAGCGTAAAAGGTTCGTTATAGTACTCATATGCTAGTGGCCGAGGCTGGTGACTGGTGGCTAAAGACTTGTCAAAGATTGGAAGCTACAGGTGAGAATGTCACTTGGGTTGTGTTTCGTAGGGAATTTATGAGGAAGTATTTTCCAGAAGACGTTCGTGGTAAGAAGGAAATTGAGTTTCTTGAGTTGAAGCAAGGGAGTATGTCGATTATTGAGTATGCTGCAAAGTTTTCTGAGTTGGCTAAGTTTTATCCACACTATAGTGAGGCAGATGCTGAGTTTTTGAAGTGCATCAAGTTTGAGAACGGGTTGCGCCCATAGATCAAGAAGCCAATTAGATACCAGAAGATTCGTGTCTTTGATGATTTGATTGATAATTGCAGGATTTATGAAGAGGATAATAATGCTCACTATAAGATTATCAATGAGAAGAGGGGTAAGCACCAATAGAACTGTGGTAAGCCTTATGATTCCCCAAGTGGAAAAGGTAAACAGAAAGTTTCTCAGGGTCAGAGGACTAGTGGGGGAGATGCTCCTGCTAGTGTGGTGTGCTTGAAATATGGAAAACCTAGTCATAAGAGTAACGTGTGTACTGCTGAGGTGAAAAGGTCTTTCCGTTGTGGTAAGACTAGACATGTTGTATCTGAATGTAAGCATAAAGAGATGATTTGTTTCAACTGTGATGAAGAAGGACACATTGGTAGTCAGTGTCGGAAGCCAAAGAAGGCGCAAACCAGTGGAAAGGTGTCTGCTTTGGCTAGGACTCCATCATCTAGTGAGGACAGACTCATCAGAGGTACATGTTTCATTAATAGTACGCCTTTAATTACTATTATTGATATAGGTGCTACTCATTATTTTATTGTTGTTGATTGTGTTGAAAGATTGGGTCTTATGTTGTCTTCGATGAATGGAGAAATGGTCGTCGATATTCCGGCTAAGGAATCGGTGACTACTTATCGTGTATGTTCGAATTGCCCTTTGTCAATCTTCGGTAAAGACTTTGTTGTTGACTTGATTTATTTTCCATTAAGAGGATTGGATGTGATCTTGGGTATGAATCGGTTAGAGTATAACTATGTTCATATCAATTGCTATAACAAGTCTGTGAGGTTTTCTACTTCTAAAGAGGAAGGAGTCAGTTTGTTGACTGGTAAACAATTGCAGCAATTGATGCAAGACGAAGTGCAAATGGTCTTGTTGATGTTGTTGTTATCAATGGAGAACCAAGTTAGAATTGAGGAGTTGCAGGTGGTGCGCGAATTTCCTGAAGTGTTTCCGGATGAAATTCCTGGTGTACCGCCAGAAAGAGAAGTTAAACTTGCGATTGATCTTGTACCTGGTACCAGACCTATTTCTATGGCACCGTACAGGATGTCTGCATCTGAATTGTCTGAATTAAAGAAGCAGTTAGAAGAGTTGCTTGAGAAAAAGTTTGTAAGACCAAGTGTATCACCGTGGGGAGCGTCTGCGTTGTTGGTAAAGAAGAAAGATGGAAGTATGAGACTTTGTGTTGATTATAGACAGTTGAATAAAGTGACGATTAAGAACAAGTATCCCTTTCCTAGAATTGATGACTTGATGGATCAATTGGTGGGTGCAAGTGTGTTTTCTAAGATTGATTTGAGGTCAGGATATCACCAGATTAGAGTGAAAGAAGATGATATTCAGAAGACCGTGTGTAGAACTCGGTATGGACACTACGAGTATTCGGTGATGCCTTTCGGTGTGACTAATGCGTCGGGAGTATTCATGGAGTACATAAATCATATCTTTCATACTTATTTTGATCGGTTTGTGGTGGTATTCATTGATGACATTCTGATTTACTCTAAATCGGAAGAAGAACATGAAGATCACCTAAGAGTTGTATTGCAAGTTTTGAAAGAGAAGAAGTTGTATGTGAAGTTGTCCAAGTGTGAATTTTGGTTGCAAGAGGTTAGTTTCCTTGGTCATGTCATTTCTGGTGGTGGCATTACTGTGGATCCTTCTAAAGTCGATAATGTGTTGCAATGGGAAGCTCCGAAGTCAGTTACCAAGATTAGAAACTTCTTGGGATTAGTCGGTTACTATAGACGGTTTATCAAAGGTTTTTATAAGTTAGAACTTTCGTTGACTAAGTTGACTTGTAAGGGTAAAGATTTTGTGTGGGATATTCGATGTGAAGAAAGTTTTATCGAGTTGAAGAAGATATTGACGTCGACCCCAATTTTGACTTTGCCTAATCTAGGAGAGCCTTTTGTTGTGTATTGTGATGCTTGTCTGATGGGGTTAGGTGGTGTGCTCATGCAGGATAGTAAGGTGGTTGCTTATGCGTCGAGGCAATTGAGGACTCATGAAAAGAATTATCCTGCGCATGATTTAGAATTGACTTAAATTGTCTTTGTGTTGAAAATCTGGAGGCATTATCTTTATGGTTCTAGATTTGAAGTGTTTAGTGACCATAAGAGTTTGAAGTATCTTTTTTATCAGAAAGAGTTGAATATGAGGCAGCGAAGGTGGTTAAAATTGTTGAAGGATTGTGATTTCAGTTTGAATTATCATCTAGGAAAAGCTAATGTTATGGCCGATGCTTTAAAACGAAACACTTTGCACATGTCGACAATGATGGTTAAAGAGTTCACTACGCCAAATAAGCTATTTAATAGCGCTTTTTTTTTGTTTTTGATAGCGCTTAAAAGTGCTATTAACCGCGCCACTATTGTAAATATTTCTTATTTAATAGCACTTTAAAAGCGCTATTAAAGTACCAATTTATAATAGCGTTTTAATTAAAGTGCTATCAAAGTCAGTATTTTGCATGTTTTTTGTTTGTTTTTTTATAGCACTCTAAACAAAAAGCGCTAATATATAACATATGTTTAATAGCGCTTTCAAATAAAGTGCTACTAAATGGTACATATTTGGTACAATATTTTTAATAAGTACAGTACAATATCTTCTGTGCCATATCTTCTAAACCAATAAAATATAATTTTGTACAGAAAGTTTGTTTTGAAATGCATTTTATCTAGTAAAATATAATTAGATTAATCATAATATTGTACAAACACACAAACTGGAAATTGATTTGAAATGCAATCTATCTAGTAAAATATAATTAGATTAATCATAATATGTAAACTATTTAACGTTGCATTTTATTTTGTAGAAAACATATGATAATTTATAATTAAACTAACATTATCCAAGACAACTGGGTAATCAAGTTTATTCATACCCAGTAAACTAATAAATCTTGAACCTCAAATACTACTGTTCAAGGAACAAAAAACCACAGCTTGATACACAGACATAAATTCAAATTTTACAGTTTCAATTAAAACAATAAAACAAGGATTAGCACAATCTGCAAATCTTGCAAACCAAGTTATTAAATTAGAGAATATTGAATACTAATTTGTGAGGGGTATGGTGGAACTTGCACTTCAACAGTACCTTCAAGCATATGTATCACATTTCTCATGATTGGTCTAAGAACTGGATCCTCTTGAACCCACCAAATTGCAATCATTACCAATTTCTCCAACTTTTCTTTGTCATCCAATGCCTCATTGTCACCCTCAACCAATGCATCTACAGCACCATCCTTGTAGCAATCATAAGCCCAGTCAGTTAATATTGCTTTCTCTTCATCTTCTTGTTCCATTTCTTGAACACATCTTCTACATGAAATAATCTCAAGTAGCACTACTCCATAACTATACACATCCACTTGAGCTGTGATAGGCATGTTCTTAAACCATTCAAGTGCAACATACCCTTTTGTTCCCCTAATGCCAGTGTTGGTTTTGCTTTGATTCATGTTCATCAACTTGGCTAGTCCAAAGTCAGAAATTCTTGCATTGAAGTAATCATCAAGAAGTATATTTTGAGGCTTTATGTCACAGTGGATGATCCTAGTAATGCACTCTTCATGTAAATACACAAGTCCCCTTGCTATTCCTATTGCAAGTTCAAGCCTTAGTTTCCAACTTGGTTTCTGTTTAGATCAGATGTACAGACAAATTCTACGTCTGCAAGCACCCCATTTATATCAAAAATTAAAAGTTTCTTCTTTGACTGCACATACAAGAATCGTGGTTAAGCATACTATCAACTTTATTTATAAAATAAATAAAAAATGAGAGAAAAACTTGAAGCAAACAAAATCTCACAGTTCCCAAACAAGAGTCTCGTCCAAACTTTCTAGAAGGGGATGTCCCAATTCTCAAACCCCCAACGCTCAGGTCCCAACACTTTTGGGATTGCATCTATGGATTCGCAAAAAATGTGAGTCTAGAAGTGAAAAGTTCAACACAATTAAAAGAAGTTTAATTGAAGTTAGTTGTCCAACCGCTAGCACATGTCGAGTTTTTCAACTTTTTGACTGCATCGTCCACAGCATGTATAATCATTTTCTTCACCTGTTACCATATTACCGGCAATCAGGAAAAACAATTCACAAAATCCCACATGAAACTATTGACATTACAATACAATAGAGTAACACAAACAACAAAATAGATTGACAATCAGGACTTGAAACATTCAACAAGGATTTAATCTAAATCAAAATAGTCCCAGGAAGGTAGCTCAATTGGCGAGCTAAGGGACATGAAGGAGTTGCAAGAAGGAGGCCCAGGGTTCAAATCCTGGAAACCAACATTCACCCACCCCCACTGACATTTTGGTTATAAAAAAAAATCTAAATCAAAATAGAAACGTTTAATGACAGAACCATGTAAAGTACATGAAAAAGCTAAGCTACATTAACACTAGATATTACAATAGAAAAATAGAAATTTCAAAACCAACAACAAACCTTTGTCTTTTACAATTTGTTTTCATGATTTTTCAGAGAGCAAGAAACAAGCAATGAAACAAACAAGGTGTTCAAAAGAAAAAGTAATTGAGAAACTAATGACAAAATCAAGATGCATTATCTGAATATATTGGATAAGCATATGAACAGAAAACTCCAATCTGGAAAAGCAGTGTTTGCATACCTGCAATTTGTCCTCGTTGGACCCGTGATTTTTCGGAAGTTTGCGGAATTCTTCTGTCAAATGGATGCACTCACCAACATTTTCAGGTGAGACAAAATCAAGTGCAACCTTGGTGCATGACTGCAAAAGGACAATGCATATCATTGGAATTTACACAAACATTTCAAGTTGATGCTTAGAAATCTGTCGTGTCTAACTTGCCTATTGACCATTCCAAATTAGGCTTGGCCAAACTTAGTAAGAATATCAATAGTGACTCTGTTGAATGGCCATTCAACAATTGGACAATAAAAAATGCCATAAGCCAAGAACTACTCATGCACTGGAGGGAACAAATATCTGACTACCTATATAGTAAAAAAAAATGTATATGTTTAGTGGGAATGTAAACTTTACGTTCAGATTTCTGACTTGATAAGGACAACCAGCTGGAATGAAAACAGCATCTCCTAGCTTCTGAGTGAAGGTCCAGGGCTCAATTCCTACAAGTCAATGTCAAACTATCAACAAAATTGGTACAATTTGACTAACCAAACAAGTCCAGCCCCCAAACAATATAGGAAAATCTGTATAATATTACTAACCACACTCCTGCTTAAGCTTCTTCTTATGCTCCATAGTCAGATAAAATGTCTGATCATGGATGGGGTGAGTAACCTACATAATCAATGAATATTTCATTCAAGATGCATCCCAATAAAACTGACTGGTAACAAGGGCATCCAGATAGAAAATGCAAAATAGTGGTAACTGATTTACCTTCGTTAAAGGATGGCAGTCAAAATGACTAAACTCTCCGAAATGCTTGTATAAATATCCCTCCAATATAGGTACATCCTTTCTTCGAAAAATATCCCAGAGAGCACCATCCAAAGAATCCACTGCATCCAACAAACTATCTCCTTGCTCCACTGTACCTTTTTCAACTTCTTTGAGCTTAGACCCAGATGTGCCATCATCATTAGCCTCCCCATCCTGATGAATATCATGTAATTCCCTCTTGTCTTGCTCAAGGTTCTTTGGCATCAATTTCTCAATGGCAGTAACATTCTCAGAACCCAATTTCACTTTAGCAACATGAGTCAACACGTTTACCTTAAAATGCCAGATTCCAACAAAAAAAATCAGAATACATCATTTGATTAAAAAATAACAATTTTTTCACAATAATTGCAAATAAATTCTGCAACAAAAAAAAAGGCCATGAAAGACAACAAGAATTGAAGCATACTGCATCAGACATGTCACAATGGAGCTTTGTCACAGAATCACCGCGCCCAAGCTCCTTAGCAACTCCATAAGCAATGTATGCTTTTGGCCCCATGTCTGGCTTCAGACAACCATCAGGCAACTTCACGGCAAGGTTAAGAGAACCACTTACAGGATGTGTGTATTCTTTATACGGCAAGTAAGATACGAAGTTCTTAAAATGAATAGGTAAACATTCCTTAAATGATTCAGAAGGAGGCCAATCTTTCAACTTCAACATGTGAGGCTGTTTACTTGAATGCATGCAATCATTAGCGCACTCAGTAAAGAACTGGTTGATTGTAACTTCTTCCTGCACTCAATCAGCAACTCAAATTAAAAATGCAAAAATTACTATTTACAGATAATAGAACAAACCAGATAAATGCATTTAACTAATATGCTTGTTATCGTACATAGCATAATTTTTATTTTGGGAAATCTTTGCCAAATGTGTGGAATTTTTTTTATTTTTCTCGAGAATGATAATAACATTGCATGTCAGCCAAAATACCACAATGTTTAGATTGAGAAATCACACAAACCTCGCACAAACTTAAGCAATTAATGGCCTTCACAGTCTCATGCTTCTGACTGATTGCATGGCTCATGTGTGATGGTTCCCATAATAATGAACTAAATGTACCACCTCCAAGCAGGTTCCTGACAATTACTAGCTCCCCTTTTCTCCAGTGCCATTGAAATTGTAGTAAATCCTCAGGATATGCAATTTTAGCCTCCGGGCAATATATATTGTTGTCATTTGACCCTTCACGAGATGCTGCCTTACGATTCAAACATGAATGCAAGTTCTTATAAGTCTCGTCTGCAATCATAGGCTTGTGATGCTTGTGTTTGTCTACAAGTTTTTCTGCTTCATCTAGCAAATCAGTAATGTGATTCCAAGATCATTTGCACATTTAAAAAAAAAGATATAACCTAGTCTGGTTCTTTATATCGCTGCCTCCTCGATAATAGTTAATAATTTCCCTTCCTAAATCTCAAAATATTAAGTTTGAAAAGTCCCAAATTACAAAATGTTGCCTCTAGGATGCTAAAACTCGCTATTAACCCAACCTAACCTAAAGACCCTACAACATTTTGACATAACCCCGGTTGTAATAGGAGACCAATTCACAACCTAAAATTCACAAACTTGAGTTGTCACATACATGCAACATAAGACAAAGGTGCAAGGAGACCAATTCACAAGCTATGAAATTAAACATGGCAAGCACTTTCTAGCTTGATCAGAAGAGCCTTGGAATGTCATCAAAACATTTCCATTAGATTCAACCAAACAAAACTATAAAAAAAAAACTGCAGCATATGCATTCCTTGATTCCATTACTAAAGGACCAAAACCCATCTTAATCACAGTGCAGAACAACCAAGAAAGCCCGCATATAAAACAACACAGTAATAAAGAATTAAAGAACGACATGACATGACGAGTGCAATGAAATAAAAAACCTCAAATTTCAAGAATCCTTCAAGCACATCCAAGAGCACGGGACTGTCTCCATTTCTATTAAGATCATATCCATTTTTGCTACTAAACTCTTTCAACTCAGACTTCCAAAAATCTTTCTCCTGTAAAAAAAAAAAGTGTGCCAAGTCAAAAGCAACATAATAACAGAAATAAACAAAAAGCAACAAGATAATAATAAATACAAGGAAAAAACAGAAAATCGATTAATTACCAAATTATATTCTGGAAGATAAACTTTTAGCGAGTGAGTAAGCTGTGCCCAGTCAAGGTATTCACATACCAGTGCAGTAAGAAGTCTACCTGCATAGTGAATACCAAAAAAGAAACATTTCAAAATGGAGCATCTCCAAACATAAATACACATAAGTCATATTAGGCAGAATAGAATAGGCGAATGAAAATGCACAGGTCGGATTGGATACAACAAAGGTGTGAGAATATATAGTAGCAAATAACTGAATTAAAGTAATTCAAACTCAAAATTACATTCTAATTAGGTAAAAAAAACATAATTATAGAGCATATAAACAGAAAATGAGTATGAAAAAGGTGAATTACCAGAAGGAGAAGCGTGAAGCTGTTTAGCACGATCGTTACAGCTACCTAACAATGCAGGAGGCAGAGCTTGATCCTTTTCGATGACACGATCTTCTTCTTCGATAGCTTCAAAGACACTAGCTCTTAATTCAGCCTGAAACATGAAGAAGAATTGAAAATTATGGATCTGAATAAGAAAACCCTAAAAATGAAGAAAAGGGAGAAGAACAATGAAATACTCGGATCCTAGCGAGAACACCTTTCTTCTCAAGAGTGCGAGTCACGAGGGTTTTGAGGTCCATCATCTCTCTCGTGTAATCGTCCATTCTTTTCGATTTTCACTTTCCAAACTTCTTCTTCTTTTTCTCTTCTCTTCTGTGCGCCAAATCCCCAATTTATACCAATAATACCAATTTTTTTTATCAATTAATTAATTAATTCATTATTATATATAACATAGCGCTTTTTAATAAATGCTATTATATAGGTAGTCAAATAATAGCGTTTTATACAAAATGCTATCTTAAAGAAGTTTAATAATAGCGTTTTGGTACAAAGTGCTATCAAAATTACATAGTCTGTATTATATAATAGCGCCCGATTAAAAAGTGCTATTATAAATGTGTTTTTTCCATTTTAATAGCATTTTTTTAAAAGTGCTATTAAATTAGGTGATACAAAAAATCATTTTTGGCGTAGTGGTTGGAGTTGATTGACCAATTACAAGATTTGAGTTTGGTTTATGAAGTGACACCGCGAAGTGTTATGTTGGGAATGTTGAAGAATAAAATGAATTTCGGGATAGTATCAGAGAAGCTCAGAAGTTAAATGTGAAGTTGGTAGATTCGATGGTTGGGATTGATCAGTCTGAGAACCATGATTTTAAGTTAGATGTGCAAGGTGTGTTGAGATTTCATAATCGAATTTGTATTCTTGATGATGCAGAGATGAAGAAAGTGATTCTTGAAGAGAGTCATAGAAGCGAGTTGAGTATTCATCCAGAGCTATGAAGATGTATCAGGATTTGAAGAATTTGTTTTGGTGGCCTGGGATGAAGAGTGATGTGGCTCGGTTTGTGTATGCATGTTTAACTTGTCAGAAGTCGAAAGTCGAACATTAGAAGCCTGCAAGGTTGATGCAACCGTTAGAGATTCCAGAATGGAAATGAGATAGCATTTTAATGGATTTTGTAACGGGATTACCTTGTACCCTGAGATGACATGATTCGATTTGGGTGATTGTTGATATGCTTACGAAGTCGGCACACTTTATACCTATTAACATCACATATCTGATTTCGAAGTTGGCAGAGATTTACACCAGAGTAATTGTGAAGTTGCATGGTGTTCCTTTGTGTATTGTTTCGGACAGGGATCCGAGGTTTACTTCTGATTTCTGGAAAAGTTTGCAAGAGGCGTTGGGATCCAAGTTGAGGTTGAGTTCAGTCTATCATCCTCGGACGGATGGTCAGACCGAGAGGACTATTCAGTCATTGGAGGATCTGTTGAGAGCATGTGTTCTTGAGCAGGGAGGTTCGTGGGATACTTATCTTCCGTTGATTGAGTTCACTTACAATAACAGTTACCATTCTAGTATTGGGATGGCACCTTTTGAGGCGTTGTATGGTCGGAGGTGTAGGACTCTGTTGTGTTGGCATGAATCTGGTGAAAGTGTGGTACTTGGACCTGAGACTGTTCGAGAGACTACTGAGAAAGTGAAGCTTATCCGAGAGAAGATGAAAGCTTCTCAAAGTAGACAAAAAAGTTACCATGACAAGAGAAGGAAAGATTTGGAATTCCAAGCTGGTGATTATGTGTTTTTGAGAGTCACACATGTGACTGGTGTTGGGCGAGCTCTAAAGTATAAGAAGCTCACTTCTCGTTTTATTGGTCCATATCATATTTTATAAAGAGTGGGAAATGTTGCTTATAGAGTGGCTTTACCGCCTAATCTTTCAAATATTCATGATGTGTTTCATGTGTCACAACTCCGGAAGTATATTCCCGATCCGTCTCATGTGATTCAGATGGACGATGTGCAAGTACGGGATAATCTCACGGTGGAGACGATGCCTGTGCGAATCGCGGATCGCGAGATGAAGATTCTAAGAGGAAAAGAGATTGCATTGGTGAAAGTTGTGTGGTTATGAGCTGCTGGAGAGAGCATGACCTAGGAGTTGGAGAGCAAGATGCGAGACTCCTATCCCGAGTTATTTGAACCATGTAAACTTTTATTTTCGAGGACGAAAATATTTTAAGTGGGTGAGAGTTGTAACGCCTCAATATTTAATTATTTATTTAATTAAATATTTTTGAATATTTTATATTAATTCAATTTTTTATCGTTGAAGTCAGAATTATTTTATTAAGTTGGAATAATAATTAATCGGATTAATTTGGTGAAATTAAGTTAAAGTATTACTTTACTATTAAGCTTAATTATGATATTGGGCTTTAATTGGTGGTGGTGTGTAGTATTAGGGGGAGTATGTCACTTAGTCCCATTTGAGTTTATTAATGATTAAATAAAATAGTAGTATTATATAGAATAAATTAATTACAGGAGAAAGAGAAGAAATAGAGTTATCAGGAAAGAAGAAAAGAGGAACAAGGGTTTTGTGAGAGGATAAGAAGAACAATGATATTGCTTCTAGTGCCATATTCACCAGAAATTCGGTTGAAGTTTCTTAGAGTTGCACTAATTCCAAGGTAAGGGTGGGGTTCTAACTCTATAATAGGGTGTGTGATTTATAGTATATGGAATTGGATTTGTAAAATTGATATATTGTTCAAATTGAGGGATAAATTAAGAATCCAATTTAATATTTTACATTCTGTAGTACTGCATTTTTTCAATTTAACACTACACAGTTATAAGCGTGTTTCTATATTTGTTCATTCTTATATAAGTATGTATATTCTTGGCATATTGTAGCAAAAGGAAAACAAGTGCCTATGCCTTTGGATATTGTAGTAATATGCTTCTGGTTTTGTTAGGCGTGGCAATTTTGTTGCGGTACTGTAGTGGCACACTCACAATGTCAAATTGGGGACAACAAATTAAAATACTGTAGCGTAAAACTAATGAACTGTAACAATCATGTTTCTATGATAAATCTAATTTTGACACTTCGAAATTATGTTTTAAATTAACAAATCTATTGTAAGTTTATGATATATAATATTCTATTAGTATAATAATAATAATTTATTATTATTAGTATATTTTTTTTAGTAGTTTTGAGTTGGAGATAACTATTTGGGTTAATTGATTAATTTAAATTATTATCAATTTTGATAGAATTGTCAATAGGGTTGTTAGAGTTGTCAATAGTGTTGTTAAAATTATCAATATAGTTGTTTTAAGTTATTAAAAGTTATACTTTTATTTGTTTTAAGTCATTCTGACATATTTAGAGTTGTGAGTAGAGCAATTTGGAACTACCAAATAATAACACATCTTTACTAAATTATTGATATTTTAGTTATGGATTTCTTTTTTTAGTTAAATTTAGTAGCAGCCATGTTACTTAGACATAATAAATTAGTAATCAACAATTTGATAGATGAACTACCAATTTAGTGTATTATATAAAGTTAAATGGTTTACTATTATGCTGAGAATGATAATTGGCACTGTAGCGACATCTTGTATTTAGAAGTGCCTCTTACTCATACTAGATTATATTAGTTACCAAATTAGTAATAATAATATAGATTATTATAATAATGATTTAATATCATTAATAAATAATTTTGTAGAAATTATAAAGTAGAAATAATAGAATTTTTGGCCGATAATTAATTTAACTGAATCGTAATAAAAAATTTAGTATAAAGTAGAAATAATAGATTTTTTGGCCGATAATTAATTAACCGATTTTAGTCAAAATAGTCCAAATAATTATTTGGTTTATTGTAGTAATTTTTGGTTGATTTGTTGGGTGGTGTTTTTGTTGAAAAATGTGAATTAGTAGGTGATTTTATTGCCTCTATTTATGGACAAAATATTAAGTTGCAGGCTTATGGCCAATGTTGAATTAAGTGGAATTATTGTTGTTGTTGTTACTACGTTCGTGTCATTGATGCACACATAGCATTTCATGTTGGAGCTAATGCTCGTCAAGTTGGCCTGGATTGGCAAATATAAAGTTGAAGGCATATGCCTTGTTTATGCCTCTATTTATTGGCAGATTTCTAAGTTGGGAGTTCTGCTCCATTGGTACCACATGCATGTGCATAAAAATGAGTCGCATTTCATGTTGCATTCTGAGTTGTCGTGTGGATGAATTAATTATGTTAAATATTGATAAAAAGATGTGAAGTGGTGAATTGTATGATCTAATACTAATATATTATTTATTATATATCCGATTATATGGTTCGATATCTCACCCCTTTTGTTTGAATGTTGCCCTTTGTTGATAACATTCAGGTAATCAAGAAGGTTAGCTGTTACCCTCGTTAGTTCGAGTCAGTGTTGTCGCTCTAATACGTAGCACTTGGGGGGATGAACGCATGATTTTTTATTGTTGATTTTCATTATGTTGCTGAATTTTTAAGTTGTCTTCATTAAAGACTTGTTGTCTTAAAGTTGTTTTGAGTTGGATAAGATATTATGGTGTTTTCAGTTGAATTTTGTGAATCCGCTGCGTAGTAATGAAAGTTGTTTTATTTTTAAATACTAAGCAGGTTGTTATCGGTTCATCCGAATTTCATGTGTTATGTATCTGAACTATAGATGATTGAGTGTCGTAGTTTTAAGTTGAAAGTGTAGCATTTTATTTGTTTGTTGGAAAATTTTATAACTCTGATTTTATTTAACTCGTCGGGTAGAAATGGGGTGTTACATTGTGTGTCTTTTCCTTTATCGTTTTATTTGCTTTAATTTTCATCTCAATTTGTCAAATAGCATTGAGTAATCTATCGACTCGTAGAAATTTTCCGGGACGGTTTTTGTTTAAAGTGGTGTGTTGATTAGCTTATAATCTCTTTGATTATAAGTGGTTTTCATATCAACACAACTCAAAAGAAAATTTCTAAAAATTCGAACGCACACCAAGTGTTTAACAAATTGCATTGTTCTATGTTTTGTTTAATTTCATTGGAAATAGAAAATCGTTGTATTTGATATTAAAATATTAATTGAGATATTATTATGTTGATTGATTTTATCATTATCTTAATTCCATATGGCTTGTGCATATCCGAATTTCCAATAACTAGGTTCCTTTAGACTACTATTTTGATCTAGGCCAAAAACCTTCCGCTCAACATTGTTTTTCAAATAAGTTTTTAAGCAACCATTTTGAAAGGTAATTTTTAAT